ATTAAAGCAGCATCCGACTGTGGCAAACTGGATGAGACCCAACTGTACAACAGAGACCCAGTTTCCATCCTAGCTCACATTTAGGTCTCAATTATCTTATCTGCTCTGCCACTCGTGTACTTTCCAGATAAGCAATGTTTCCCCCCCTCTTTTCAAAGAGGCTGGAAATTAAAATTACAACCACTGCATGCTAAGGTTAAAAATGCTACAGAATAAATTTAAGATTATTGCTCTTCTGACTAGTTTATGTGTAGGTTAAAACTAGTAATCAGATTTTGCTGATGAGCTAAATGAATTTTAATAGCAGTTGTTCATTCTGCAGGTGAAAAGGGAATACTTTCCTTAACCTCTGTTTATTCAAATAGTTTATGTCAAAGATCAGTTCATCTACAGTTAAGAAACTGCTTAAGAGTTGGAAGGGAGGAGAAAAAAAAAAAAAAAAAGCTTGTTAAAAAACTTGCTTTCCCCTTCTAACCTATGACTAAGAATGAGGCAAGAGACAGGAGGATCTAAGGTCCTCAAGGCAACAAGAAGTCATGAATTCCTTCAACTGCAGATAATGTTTCCTTTTATTAAATAAAGCAGCTGCTAATGATGCCATAAATATTTTTTCCTTATGGATGCAACGCACTCAAAACTTCATCTGCACCAGCCAAAATGAGTGGAAGCACAAGCAGCACTGAACTGAAAGCTTCTGTCCCAAAGCAGATGGACATAAAGCAGGTAGGAACTGAATAACTTTTCTGATATTCTTCACGCAAATAAAGAAAAAATGTATATAATCCTTTTAACAGCTAAGATGTTTACAGATTTACAGATGTTTATAGTTTTTTGGGGGTAAGAAAAATAGTGCCAAATGGGGATTATAATTTCTTTCACCAGTGATGATAACGTTTACAAGTTTGTTAATTTTTCCTCGGAAAAAGCCAAACGCAAGCACCACTCTCAAGTTCAAACGAAGGTTCCTGCACGTTGCTTTAATCACTTTTCACAAGCTTAACCAACGCACTCGTCGGCGCAGCTCCCGGTTCCCCGCGTCCCGCGGCCCCCGCGAGCCTCAGCTGCGCTGCAGGGAGGGTACAAGGCCTCCGCAGAAGCGATGCCAGCTCTGAAGAGACCACAGCCACCTAAAAGACCAATAATTAAGAAGTGCGGCAGGGCTCAAGGAGACACAGCTGGAATTCCTGATCTCTAAGCACCCCATGCAACACCACTGGTGAGACCCAAAGAGGTGCTGGCGAGTGTGACGGGAGGACGGACATCCCTCTCCACGTTATTCCTACCTCTGCTCCCCATACGAGGCCTATAGGACTTCAGTTTTTAAATCCTCCCCCACAAGAAGCTGTAGCAAAATAAACATCCAGCTGGATAGCTAAAGGGTTACGCGACCTGGCAGGACAGACCTGCATTTCAAACCTCTTTCAGTCTCAGAAATCACATATTTTTAATAAAACAGCCAATAAATTTCTACATTTTCTCCAGGGAAACAGACATGCATAATTACTCCAAGAAAGCTGTTTTCATTTAGAGGAATTACTTGAGAAGTTACCACTACAACACAGTGTGTCCAATAACAAAAGCAGCAGCCAGAGCTGTTTACAAAACTGTTCTGCTTAGTGTTGGACTAAAAAGCCCAACTCTCTTCAGCGTGTAATAAATCAAATCTGGGCTCTACGTTTAACAATTTTCAGCAGTCCCATATGCTGCACACTCAGATATGCTCCATTACAAGGAAGAAAAACATCATCTCACCATGAATCATCGGTGACTACACTCTTGTAAATCTGGCTTAAACACTTGCAGTGTTCAAGGGCAGCCCGAAAGAAGTCTGCTCGCTGTGGCAACAGATTCTGTGCAGGAGGATCTCAGATTGTTTATTTAAGAGGAAGGAAAATTAAAAAATTAGTGCAGGAAGCAAGCACATTATCTGCATCGCTCCAGAAGCGCCCTCAGCATGCACACTATTTGGCACTTATTCATCAAATCCTATCTAATAAAGGCATCCTGCTCATAAAGTGGTGATGGTATCTGGTAGTCACAACACCTTTCATCCTAAAGTGCTTAACATAGGTGAAAATGCATGCGCTCAGTGCAGGATTCATCTCCTTCCCAGTGCTGAAAAGCAGTTACCTGGGGATGCAACCTTTAGCCCGTTCTATACTGTAATAATAGTTGTAATAAATCGCGAGGAAAGTTAGAAGAAAAATGAAACACATGCAATGCGAAAGTCCCCAAACAGAGGGGTTTCAGGCTGCTGGGAACTGCAGGTGGGCAGCACATCGGTTCCTTGGCTGGGATTTAGCAGGATGGGCTGACGGGCGACTTCTCTGCGACTTCTCCCAGATAAGCAGCAGCAAAGGGGCTCAGGCAAAAGTCACCAAGTGGCTTCACAAGTTAAAACACAACACGCTAAGGCCACCGTTTACTCCCTCCTTGAGGAATTCCCCACTCTCTGGGAAGCCGGATCAGAGCCCATTTGCTCTTCCCAAACTCTGAAGACAGAGATGCACCCGAATGAGCTGCCCTAACTTGGCCCAATTAACTGACCTTATCCAGCCGTGCCCAATTACACTCTCTTTTGGAGACAGCAACTGAAAAAATCACCTGCTGAACAAACGGTGAGAATGTCCTTACTTGAAGCCTTGGGCAGCCAAGGCATGGGGAATGCAGCCGCACGCTCCCACGTAACCATGGGCTTCATTAAATTTGAAACAAACCAGAGTCCATTGGGACCTAACATTCAGGGCGGGGAAAAATAGTAATTACATCAACATCAAGCTATTACCTGTTCAAGGACAGAAGTGCTTACTTCATTAGCAGCTCAGACAAACTCGTTCTGTAAGCTCCCTATATTAAACCCCAATTTTCCCTGTCCCTACAAATTAATCCAGCAATTTCTGACACCAAGGGAAAGTCCAGTAAGACACTGCGAACACAAGGCTGAGGTGATAAACAAGAAAAGCCCCAAACAGCTCAGAAATGCTCTGCTGTCCTCAGTAAAAACACACTCATCCCAAGCCACTGAGAGAAGCTGATTTCAAGAAAAGAAAACAAACAAAAAAAACACCTCTTTGAACGAATTCAAACCTTTTTTCCCTCGCAGTACAGTCTCTTTATTCAATCCGACAGCAAAGCCCGCATATCTTTACCTGCATTTCTCCCTTATTTCCAGCATTCAGGTGGAATATATGCTAAGTCTTTAACTTAAACAAAGTAATAACGCTGAATATTAGAGTGCTGCTCCCCACTGCTGTGCAGGGAGGTTTCAGAAAGACCCTCCAGAAGCATCGCAGGGCATTTGAAGGCAGATTTCCAACCTCCCTCCCTCGGTAGCTCAGAGATGAGGACCACACCCAGCTCATTTACCCTAATTCCTGTTTCAGCTGCTCTCCTCATTAATTAGGAAGTGAGGTTCACAGATTACAGCTCCGGACACGCAACAGCCCCTGATGATTCTTAATGGTGCAGACTGGGCTGCTGCACTGGGGCAGCCCAGCCAAACGAGAAGCCGCGAGTGCTGCTGCATCAGCATAGGGCGAGATTTCCTTCTTTTTACCCCAAAATGTCCACCGGGACATGGATCAACCAAATCGGTGCTTTGTGTGGCACGTTCTACCTAACAAATTAGAACAAACACACCACAGAGCACGCAGAGAATGATAACGAGAGCCGGGAAACCCCGGCGAGCTTTCGGGAGAGCCAGCGCACGGCGCAATTGCACAACGTTTGTTACGAGCACCGAGCCAAAGGCAATCACATCATCCTGGTTTAATCAATGGCCCTCAAATACGGAAGTAGCTTAAAAATGACACGGCGTAAAATAAAACATTCCTTTTTTTTTTTTTTTTTTCCTCAAGTTTTCTATTTTGACTTCTTTTCCTGCTGGGTAAAAAACACACCTACTAAAAAGCTGAGCAAGCGCTGAAATTCAGTTTTACGAAAATCCGCTTAGATACCAAACTCACAGGGTTTGCAACGTACTTTGTGGACTAAAAGCATAAGCGCACTGTAAAAGCGACAAATAAAGGGAAGGCTTTTCCCCTCCCTCACAACCCGGGCACTGCAGCTTGGCACGAGGCTGCAGAACAACCCGGAGCCGGTGGACGGCGGAAGCGGCCAACGCTGCCGGCGCCACCGCTCTCCTTCCCGGCCACGGCCTTTCCCAACAGCCTCCCTCGGCCACGTGCAAAAGGATCGTTCTGTTTAAAGCCATCGGACTAGTCCGAAGAAGGGACAGAGCCCAGTTCTGTCAACCGACCGTCCCGTTCTGCGACACACTGAGAAAAACTAACTCAGCAACAGATAGTTAGTATGAGACAGGTGCTTACAATATATAAGTAGGAGGAAAAAAAAAAAGGAAAAAACCTTAACTTGCAAGGATCCTTTCAAGTGATAGTTAACAGAGGAAGAAAAGTGACAGGGATGAGCAGAAAGGTAATATATATGTGAAAGAATAGCTTAAAGTCAAAAACTCTCACATTGAGAAGGTGGATACAACCTGGCTCAGTTTTCCCTCGAATGAAATGCCAAAGAAAGTTCACGTGAATATGGTAAATGAAAAAACCTTAATCTGACGCCGCCCCTAAATACATGAATAGAGGCACGAATAGTTTGCAGCCCCGCGGTGGGCCACAAAACACTAAGAAGTCATGCATTTTTATTAATAACCAGTGTGTTAAAAAGAAGAGAGCTGGCCATCGAGCATTCTCGGTTACAGCGCGGGCGACGTTGCTCAAACACCTCAAACACCGGGGGTGCGGGGGCTGCCAGGGCGGCGGGGCGGGGGGCACGGAGACCCCCGGGCAAAGCCCCGGGGACGGGGCTCCCACAGGGGCAGGAGCGCGGCCGGCCCGGGGCCCCGCGGGAGCCGCCGGGACCGCCGCGGGCGGGTCGCCGCCCTTCCCGGGACAGCCGCGGGACCTCGGAGCCTGAGGGCAGCCGCTGCGCGACACCGCGACCCCCTCACGCAGCGGGCCCGCCAACGGCCGCGCCGCCCTCACCTGGTGCCGGGAGGCCGGTGGCGGCCACGTCCGCGCCGCCCGGGAGGAGGAGGAGGAGGAGGAGGAGGAGGGGGGGGGAGGAAGAAGAGGAGGGAGGCGCCGCCGCTTCCTGCCCGCCGCTGCCGCCCGCCCGCCAGGCGCGGCCAATCGCGGCTCGGCGCTCGGCTGCACCGCCTGCCCGCCGAGCCTCGTCGCGGGACGGATGGGTGGGAGCGGAGGGGAGGAGGGGCATCGGTGCTCGGCTACACGGCCCTGACGCGCAGGCGAGGGAGCGGCGCTGCATCGATCGCCACTCGGAGCGCCACTTAGCCTCCTGAGCGGCCGGCCCCGCGGTGGGGACGGCGCGGAGGGGCGGGGTGGCGCCAGCCGCGCTCGATTCGCTCTGCCTGCGCGCGCGGCGCGGGGGCGATCGGCCGTCGATTGGTCGCGCCCGGGAGCCGTTAGCGCTGTGGGGTCCCGGAGCCCCGGCGGGGCCGCGGAGGCCCGAGCGGGCGGGGGGGCGGCCCCGGCGGGGCACGGCAGCCCCGCGGCAGCTCCCTGGTGAGCGGCTCCCCAGGGAGCCTCCCGGCGGCCCGGGCCGGGAAGAGGAGGAGGTTTAGCAGAGGCCCGGAGGCCCCAAATAGGAAGAGCTCGGGGCACAAGGTTGAGGTGAGGCGCATTTTGGGGCGCTTTTCGGCTAAACAAAGCCGGAAGGGCCCAGCTTTGTGTGCTGCCGGTGCCCCACACCCCCTCGTTCCGCTGTTCTGTCCCCAACAGCTATTTTCTTGCTGGAGTTTGAAGCCTGTCCTCATTTGCCCTTCAGAACAACGTGCAACAACTTAAAAGGCCTCTGTTCCCGGCGAGGGGTGCTGTTTTGTGCTCTCCTCTTCAAACGGTGCTGTGTCACAGCTTTTCTGGTTAGTCACCTAATTTGTGCAATAAATTAATTGCTTGTGATCTCTGTTTACAAGCTGAACTCAGTAAAATTGTTTTTTTTTTCCCTCCATTTCTTGCAAATGGGAAGAAAAACACGGAGCTGGAGCTTGGTGTGAGCTGCCCGCCAATGGTTGATTAAAAAGTCTTACTGCGGACTGAGTGAATGCATATAAAATAATAAGCGAGTTGTGATGAGCACAAGAGCTTTAATGAAAACGTGAGCCAAGTTAAAGGCGTTAGAAGCAGTTTTAAGTTTTCCCTGATAGCTCTTTGGGGCGTAGACAGCGAAGTTGCTGCGCTGGCGAGGGAAACATGACATTCCTTAAAGCTGAACCTCCTCCCTTGGGTTCCCACCGAATGCCTGAGAGATGAGAGCACAGGGTGTCTCCAGAAGGCTAATATTAAACACGAGGAATTAATACGGAGGGAACAGGCAGTGAGATTCCAGTTTTGACCACAGAATGAGCTAAAAGGCTTTTTTCGGCAGCAGCTACGTGCAGTTTCTTACTCATTCCCCATAGGCAGCTGCTGTTCAAAGGATCCTGGCGTGTCTGCATGTTAGCAGGTGCTCCGGCCCCGCGTGTGGCGTGCGAGGGAGAGGCTTCTCTTAAACACAGAGGGTGCTGAGGCAGCTCAACAGGATGAATTGCCCTCGGAAGGACAGGCTGCATCCAGTCTTGCCTGCAACTACTTTCCTCATCTGAAATCCACAGCGGTTAAAGCCTGCGGAGCGAGGAGCTGATGGGCTGTGTGTGCAGGCGTGGAAGGAAGGCAGAAAAGGAGCACGCAGGAGCTCATGGCAAAGGGGGAGAGTTGGCTGTAAGGCTCGGAGTGGGCTCTGGAGAGCTCTGGGGCAGGGTTTTAGCTGGCGCGATCCCTATTTTTAACTCCGATGCAACCGTACGACTTTGGGAAAGTCATTTCAGCAGTTCACGCCAGGTGCGAGTCGGCGGCAAGAGGAAGTGCCCGGCAGCGCCCCGGCGCAGCCACCGCACCCTTTCCTGCACCCTGTGCCCTGCGGTCGCGGCAGCGGCGAGGAGGAGCCGCGGGGAGAGCCCGAGCACCCAGGGGTGCAGGGCGCCGCGTTGGGTGCCCTTGAGCAAAACGCCCAGCTCGTGCAATTGCTCTCAGCTGTTAGTGCTTTCCAGCACAAAGATTAGGCAGGGCCTGCTGCCACTCCGCAGGGTGAACGGCTGGCTCGGCTAGCTGGAAGTAAAAGCACCACCGTGTTTTCGAGTACAGCCCTTTTTTTCTGGATAGAGCCTTTTACCTTCCTTTTCCCTGGGCCAGTGTTTTTTTTGTGCATCGTGATTCTGCGTGTGCGGAATGCGCCTGGCAGCGGGAAGGGAGCCAGGCTGCGCAGGAGGCACCAAAGCCGCACGATTAGTTCATCCAGGTCTCTGTATGCTTGCAGAAAAGGGCTAAGTGAGACACTTAGATCTTAGTTCCATTCCTGTCACTGTAGCATCCTGCTTCCCGTCACCCACCGAGCCAAACAATCCCTGTGATTTCTGTGGCTTGTGATAGAGCCGCTTCACTAGGGCGGATGGGGTCAATGCTTGTATTCATCTTGGGTTGTCACAATCCCCTTTTCTCCACAAATCCCTTGAAGGGGAAGGGAAGCTGGCAAAGGCAGCCCCTGTTGTTGACACGAAGCTCAGGGCCGCTCAGATTGCCCTCTGCTGCCGGGAGCAGAGGGAATCACTGGTTCTACCGCAGGACAGCGGATCCCTGCCCCGCACAGGGCCATCTGCCGCGCCCTGTGTGACCGCTGTGCCCTGGAACAAGGCCCGGCTCCCGCTCAGCGCGGCGGGCTCGCCTGCGGGCCGAGGAGCTGGCAGGGAGGAGGCGGCCGCGCCTGGCGGCGCTGGGACTCGAACCCGCGCCTACCCAGACCCAGCCGTGAAGGCCCCGCCCCCAGCGCGGCCCCTCCCCCGCATAGCCCCGCCCCTCCCCAGTGAGGCTCCACCTCCTGCGCGTGACCCCGCCCCTAGCGCGACCCCTCCCCCACATAGCCCCGCCCCTCCTCAATGAGGCTCCACCTCCTCCGTGTGGCCCCGCCCCCAGCGCGGCCTTTTATCCGCCGCCGCGAGGCCCGCCTCCCTTAGGCCTGCGCACGCGCAGCGGCCCCGGAAGCGGAAGCGCGGGGCGCGGCGCCGTTGCCGAGCGCCCGGCGGCGGCTGCTCCCGTCGCTCGCGGTCGCCATGAGCGCGGCCGCGCTCGTGTCCGCCGCGCCGCCGGCCCCCGCGCCGCCCGGCGCGCCCCCCGCCGCCGCCATGCCCCCCGGGCCCGACTACTACGAGGAGGAGGAGCTGGAGAGCGCCGAGGAGGAGGACGGCGAGCGCAGCGCCCGCGCCCGCGACTCCGACGAGGGTCCGTGCCGGGGGGGCGGCGGGGGGGAAACCTGCAGGAAAAAGGGCCGGGTTTGAAGGGCCGGTTGCCCCTTCCCCCCTTGTCCCTGCGGTTTAGGGTTTGCACTTGCAGCATTCAGGTCTCTCTGAGCTCCCCCTAGAGCAGTGCCCTGCAAGGGGAAGGGGAATTGATTCTCCCAAGAAGTAGAAGCCCCACAGATGAAGTAGTGGGAAACTAGCAGCGTTGTGTTATAAATAAAGTTATTTATAGTTACTGGCAGTTGGGGCTGTGCTTATATGCTTGGGGTAGTCTTTATTGGGTGTAAATGTTGAAGCACTTAAGTGGGTAGCTGGGGTGTCAGTAGCTTTACTTGTTTGTATGGGAAGCCATAATTGCACTTAGTAACGGTGATTTCCTTGAGAAACGTAGTTTAGGGTCTTGGATTGTGTTGCTATCCCATTTTTGTATCCGGGGGCCCTAATGCAGAGCCTCTTGTCTTAAACCAGCAAGAAACCACCTGGGTGTCTTAAGCTGAAGTTGTTCAAAGTGGGTGTAAGCTGCATTGTGGCTCCAGAGGGGGACAAGTTGCAATTGCAGGAGCAGATGGGGTGGTTCAAGTTGCTGCTGAATGAATCTTTACAGAGTTGCTTTGTGGACCTGGAACTCAGCTGCCAGTTCACTTTAAAAGCATTTACCTCTTTCCTTTTGAACACTACTTTAGTCTTAACAAATCCTTCCTTACCTCTTTTAGATACTGAGGATGCTAGTGAGACTGACCTTGCAAAGCATGAGGAAGAGGACTTTGTGGAAATGAAAGAGCAGTAAGTATCCTCCTCTAATAAAAGCAGCTTAGTACTTTAGTTTCTTTGCATAAAGTTTTAGACCTGCGCTAGGGATTTTGTTTTTTGAAATTCTGAACAGCAAAGCAGTTGCAGGTTTCTGGGAGCAGCAATTTTTTGATGCACATCAATCCCACTGCAGAAAGTTCTCTTAAATCAAATAACCTATGGGATTCAACCCAGATGGAAAGCAACTTGCTTATTAAAAACCACATAATAGAATATCAGCAGTGTGCAAGAAGATGGGCTTTCTAGAGTCTTGAAATAGTTTCTCCTGATATTTAAGGGCTTTTGTATCATTTGTGTTCTTGTTTGCTGGCAGAGAAATGTTTATGTGCAGATCAAGAAAATGCAGCTTGTGTTAAACTGCAGATAGGTGAGATGGGAAATACCAAACTGCCCCTTGTGTCTTTAACTTTTCTGATGGGAGTGCTGGGGGAGGTTGTTTATAACTTCAGTAAGCTGAGGAAGTGTTTTCTGAGTAGGAAACTAATACGTAAATATTAAAATGTGACAAATGGTGGAACTTTTCTGTTTATGTACCTGGTCCCATGTTAGATTTCCACATACAAAAGATATTCTGCAGTGACTGTCCCCCAGAATAATCGATGTCATAAAAAGGGCTGTAGTTTTTTTTTTAAATTGAGTAATATTCTTTCAGTTATTTGTTTTCTGGAGTTCTTTTCAAAAATTCTTATTTCAATATAAGCAAGCACATAATAACCTAAAATAGCAAAATAAATTGGTTTTGTTTTTCACTTTTTAGTGTTTTTTATGCGCTCTCTCTCTCTCCAGGATGTATCAGGACAAGCTGGCATCTCTTAAGAGGCAGTTGCAACAATTGCAGGAAGGTAAGTTCTGAAGAGGATAGCTCTTTCCCTAAATAACTTTTAGCCCTTTTCAAAACTGAAGACTGGTGTGAAAGTAACTGCAGAGTTGCCTCTCAGT